CCGTTTTACTTTTAACAAGCGTGAATGCATCTGTTTCTGAGCTATGTGGGCAACATGCATGTGAGGTGCGGCCCTGCCCTCCAGGACACCCACCTTGGTGAGTCGAGAAGAAATTTTATCCAAGGGCGAGCAGTGAGAACACAGCAAACCGACACATGCAGAGGGAGATCCAACAGTCAGACCGGGCAGGGAGAAACAGCTGAGCGTCTTCAGTGGTTCGTGATGGGAGGGATGGTCTAGTCTGAGAAACTGAGGCAGGAGGGACTGCCTGGCTTCAGCAGGGAGAGTAGGAGCCTGTCCCAGGCCCAGCCACGTTGGCGACAGCAAACTACAGAGCTACCAGAAGGAGAGGCCCGGGCTGTCAGGGAGCACTGCCGGCTGCCAAGAGGGTAGGGGGCCCTGGGCCCGCCCTGCAGAGGTTCCTGCTCAGGTCCTCTGGAGTCTGGGTGGAGCAGAGTAGGGTCATGACCTGTGTGGACCCCACAGTGCCCAGATTTAGAATTCTGCCAACCTCCAAGCTCACCATCAGCCTCCTGCGGCCCCACTTGTTTCTGGGGCAGCTACTGTACCCCGACCCCGTCGTCCCCAGGCAGAGGGTCCCAGCCGCAGCTCCATGGGGGCTGGTGTCTGGCCTCCCTTCTGGCTGGCTGAGCAAAGTATCTGCAGGGCACAGAGCAGGTCACAGGGATGCTCATTAGAAAGGATAAAGCCTTTGCGGCCTAAGGCAGTTGTGGGGTTCACTTCCAGTCTTTGAGAACACAGGAGACTATCTGTTTTGAAATTAACATAGAGGTTCCCCAAATCAGTACAGTTTCCCCTCCTTTGGGGCTATGACAGTGGCTTTTCCATCTGAAGACAGCAAAGCAAGTGAGTCGGTGGCCGGGTCTGCTCTCTGTCCGCGTGCAGACGTGGCAGCAAAGAGGCACCCAGAGAAGCCCCCGTGGCCTGGGGCTCTTCGTAAAAAAGACAAGGCCCTGAGCAACAAACTGGCTCCTGCTGCTCAGGACGACAACCACGCTTGGCTGCCCAGCGGGTCCGCACCGCCTGCCGCTCCAGTGTCCTGTCCACTGCACAGCAACCCCAAGCTCTACCTCCTGTCCACGCGTGTGTCTGTGCACACAGTGTGTTGCTGTCAGTGAATGGCCGCCTGCTTCTCGAGCGCCGTGACGCTGGCTTTTGTTTGTGTTTTTCTTACCTGGGACTGGGACAAAAGATGGCCTGAAGCCAGGAGGTGCCGCCCACCAGTGGGGCTAGGCTGGGAGAGCTACTTTCTCCCCACCAGAGCCGCCTCTGCTGTCAGTCCCAGGCTGCACCCTGCTGGCCTTTCTGGGCCACACTGGGACCGTTCTCTTGTCAAAATCTGAGGGAAGTGAGGAAACCGGGGGCTCTTATGAAATGGACAGAGCGCAGGGTGGGCATCGGCTGGGCTACGTCCCTGGCCGGAGCTGTCCGCCAAGTTGGAGGACAGAACAGTGTGCTGGGAGGGAAACATGGATTCACCGCAGTGCTCAGGCCACCAAGCACACCACCCCCAGACACCAGGGAAACCCAAGCATTTGCACAGGAGTGAGATTTTGCTAGATTTTGCTAGAATCTGGCCCTGCCAGTTGAGGAGCAGCTGGTGGGAGATGGGAGATGTGCAGGCTGAGCACAAGCTCATGGTGTGCGGTGACTCAGGCCCCTCACTGGAGACACCAGGTGAGAGGAGAGACTGCAGGGCCTGGCACACACAAGCCCACTCTTCCTGCTGCTGGCCAGAAGGAGCTGTGTACACAGCAAGGCGGAGAGAGAAACATTAACCAAATTGCAAGTTTCGGATCATTTGTCTTATTGTGGCTTCAGGAAAAGTTTATCTTTCAAGCAGGCCCACCTGTTCTTGTAAAACCTTATCTGGGCTATTAGGGGGCGAGTCATCAGTGCTTGTTCAAACATTCCACTGAAGAGGGGAGCGGAAAGGAGAGGAGGTGCGAAGGTCACTTTCAAATTTGGAAACCTCTCTTCCCTTGCTTGAAGACAGCTCTGCACTGAATGGGTTTGCCCCTCACATTTCCCTCTGATCTTTCAGGGAGCGCAGGTCGGTTCGGGGTGCAGCTGCATCCATTTGTGGGCACACGCCAGTCAGAAAAGTTGTGTTAATTTGCAGTGAATGTTTTCAAACTCCTTTCTCAAAGATGAAAGTGTTGCCACCTTGTCTTGGCTCCTGCCAGGTTGTGTGGCAAGCGTGTGTGTGAGTGCAGTGTCCTGATTCCCGGAGATGCTGAATGAAAGCCCAACTCTGCACGATCCCCTGGCCCACACCTCCGAGCCTTCCCTGCTGGGAGGAGCACCTGGTGTGCACAGGCCCTTGGATCAGGGATGTGTGCGCCTATCTAAGATTATGCTACAGGAATTCAGGCCAAAGGTAATGACTTAGATTTTTGGCAGACTTAGATTTTTGACTGAAATTTCACATCACAGTGCTGTAATTGTAATTAATTATGATGCTATGTTTCTTTACAAGGTTGTAAAGCACAAAAGCTGAGGTTGCAGGATGGTCTTGAATGATTGACTACAATTGTCTGCTTCTCTAATGCTAGGCAGAACATATAAAAGGATAAATCCTATTAAAACCCCTCCTTCCGGAGAGCAGAAAATAAAGGGACTCAAAGTCCATCACTCTCGTGTGCTGCCCAGGGCAGCACTGGGGCCACAGACACTCTTGCCGATGGCTATTTTGTGTGTGCTGCAGGCTTCCTAACAGAAAGGAGGCTTTGTAAGAGCACAGAAACATGCCCATGCTTCTTGGATGTGCCCTGGGACAGAGCTGAGCAAACAACGTGAAAACAATATGTGGTATTGATTACTCAGCAAATACGAACAATCCCATACTCTTCACAGCTATGCCTTTATTCAGCATTTTTCAACCTTTAAAAGAGTTGAAGTCATTCTACTTTGCCGCCTCTCTCCTTTGCTCAACTGCCTTCTGCCTAGAACAGGCCACGTCCCTACTGGGGCAGGGAGCTTTGTACCCAGCTCACTGGCCTCCAAGGTCCTGTTTACGTGCAGCTTCAGTGGAAGGAGGTCCACTCTCCTGCTGCTGCCACCTCCTGGTTGAGCAGCACCTTGTCCAGAACCGCCTCGTCTTCATTCTCATTGTATTTATTTCTGCTGTGCTGCTTTTATCTCATGCGTATATGAAAGCCTTTAAGAAACATCAGAGAGTAACGGAGACGGAGGTGCCGAGAATCAGCAACTGTAGAAGCCCTGGGCTCTGTTCCCCAGTGCTGTTGTATTAAAGGATTGTCCGTGGTGGTTTGCCCTTTTTGAAAAATGGAAGCATCAAAGTTTTAAACTCATGCTATCATTAAAATAACAACATTCATTGTTTGAAACACAAATTAATTGTGAAGTGAGAGTTTGGGAAGTCTTAGCCAGAACGCAGTGCTGAACTTCATCTGCATTTTGTAGCCACCACATCCAGTCCATCACCCTCTGGTTGTAGCAGCAGAGAGAAGGACGCAACCCCTGTCCTGCTGTTGTTTTATGGCTGATGATTCAGGAAGACAGAAAAAATGCCCTCATTTTAGCAGCTTTCATTTGATCATTGTCTCCCACCTTCCCCAGCCTCTGGGAGATGCGTTTATTGCCAGCTTCACTGCAGAGGAGACAAATAAGTAACACAGATGTTGGCGTTTGTGGCACCTTTACAGACACCTCCATGACACCTGTCATATCATACATTGCATATTGGATGTAACGTGAGCAATTTATGAGTCCAGATGCATCGACTGCTCTCCTTGTGCTCCTGCTGACATTCCCCGGAGATCGATATCCTGTAAAAAGCCTGAAGATTGCTTCCTTTCAATGGTGAGTGCCTGCTCCATGCCTTGGAGATAAGACATTTCTACTCTTGGGCCTTAGTCACCATAAAATCA